CTTTAGAGACATATGAACCCAAGACTTCCTCCTTTTCCACTGGCCCCAGGGAGCACATCAAATGGTCTAAATGATGTCAGCCTTCAGGCTGCTCTAATTTGTGTCAGGGACTGACCTGGTCCATGCTGGACCCAGGATTAGAGGAATATAAAAATAGTTTAAATCCACTTTCCCTCTCTCTGCCCCACACTGATCCTTTATTTATTCCCGATGAGAAGCCGTGATCCTATAATTTCAGGATCAGAAAAAGCAGCTAGTGTAGATCAATTCTTCAGTACAAAGGGTCTTGTTGTTACACAAATATTCACTCTAGCAATAAAGCAGGAAAAGAATAGAAATAGAACAGTCTGAAAAAGTAATCACTTTCTGATTCTTTTTGTTAGGCATCAGAGGATATTTAAATTTACACATAGCAGAGTAAGTTTCCATTTTTAAAGTAAAATACAAGAGAAAATACTCCACTGAACACTAGACACAGGATTTTTTTACATTAATCTTCAAGTGAACTACATATAATACATAGCAAATGTGATAAAGGACCAAAGAGCAGAAAACAATACACACTTGTTTCTTTAAATAACAGGTAGCATAAGTCCAGTGAAAGGGATAAAAACTACTGACTTTTTTATTTGTGTAGAAACATAAAAATAAATAGCGCGCATAACTGGGTAATAATGAAAAATATGCACAGGAAACTGCCTCCCAAGCTTCTTTGGCCTCAGATTAACCCCACATGATGATGTCAAATCAAATTTAAACCAACTTGCAATTGCTGAAGTGGCTTCTTTTTTTCAACTAAGAGCTCTGATTCAGAACTGGTGCAACCCACAGAGAGAGCACACATGCAACTAACCACTGACAGCACTGAATAGGCAAAAGAGAATACAGTGGGGAAGCAAAATGTTGTCCCTGAAGGGTTGTTGTGCTCCAGTGAGACTGAGTAATACGGGACTCATGCACCCCCATGACTTTGTATTTTTGGATATTAACTTTAAACTATGCTTACTCTGGGGGTGTAACACTGTCTTTCTGGGAAAGAGCTACAGATAGATGCTCTGTCAGGTACATAACTATCTCCAAGGCACACAAAGCACCTCAAGTTCCCATCATTAGACAAAGTAGCTGCATCACAAGAAGAGTAAGTTTTAAAGGCTGTGCAGCTTGTTTCAGGCACAGCAGCTAAATCCCAGTACCTGACACATTCATGTACACTTGCACACCTGTCCCTACCCCTAATATCAATGGCTATGGAAAGTAACAGCTCTACACTAATTATACACTGTTAGTATTTAAGGGTACATCTACGCAGCAGTGTCATTTCGGAAGAACTAATGTTCTTCCAAAATAACACAGTCTGCATGTACACTACAAGCAGTTATTTTGACATAATATCGAAATAATGGTGAGCTGGAGGACTTCTTACTCTGACTCCTGTAACCCTCATTTTACAAGGAGTAAGGGAAGTCAGAAGAAGAGCGCTCTACCTTGGACTTCCTGCTGTGCAGACAGCTCCAAAAGCCAAAATAAGCTATTTTGACTAATCTACGCAATTGACAAAGCTGAAGTTGTGTAGCTTATTTCAGCTTTAGCCCTGCTGTGTAGACATGCCCTAAGAGAAAAATGCAGTGTGCAGAGAAGCAGATTTCTGTCTCAATGACAGGGACAAAGAGAAAAAACTAAAAGACAACCTTTATGCCCTTGACTAGGAAGACATGAGAGATGCAGGGAGCAGGGGTGGCCACAGTAGACACTGTGGAAAACTATTTGTGGGATAAAGAAGTGCACATGGAGAAGTGGTAAATCAACATGATTGTCAGGGCTTGAGACCTGTCACTACTATCTGTCGCTTTACACAGAGAAAATTAAATTCTTCTAATACGCCTGTTTGAAATAATATAAAATAATTACTAAAATCAAAATATTATTATATTTGCATAAATGGTGGTGCTTCTTATTCTGAAGAACTTAAAGCAATTTTAAACTATGTTCAGAGACATTATTGCTTCACCCTTGAAATGCAAGTAAATCTGGAGTGGAGGATAGCAATAAGGTGGATGAAAGGGGCACAGCATGCTGTAAAACAGTGACTCAATGGAAATTTCGGCCGAGTTAACCAGCTATATTTGCAAAAAAATGCCATTAAGAAATTTCAAATGTCCATGAGAAAGACAGGGAGAGAAGAAAATAGTCAGACTTACACTTTTAAAGACTCAGGTGGTTGAATGGTTGAAGCAGTGAGCTTTTAACCTCAGCCTTCACAAAGCCCTGCAGGCATGTCGCTATCTGTCACACTTTCATACCATTTCATATGCTTCTGTTATATATTATTCATGTTACATCCACAAAAGTTTATAGAAGCAATTCAGTTCAAAACCTGCCAACTGCCTCTAGACTACAATAATAATTCTTTATCTATATAGTCTCAGGAGGTAGCCAGGTTAATCTGTAACTTCTTCAAGGACCTTAGCCCTTTAAATTGCCTCTGGAGTACTCTGAGCAGCTATTAGGTCTGCTTGGAGAAGGCAGTGTTGGGTGGGATGCTGCAGTCTGGGTGGCGCTGACCCTTCCTTCTGAGGCTCTGCCCCCATCATCTTGCTTAGGGACCCAGTGTGTCTGTCAGCTCCCTGGGTCAATTGTAATCTTCAGATTATTTTTAAAGATAGAAGAAAGCCCCTCCCAGATTGAGTTATAATTATAGTAAAACTAATTATGATAATTAAAAACCAACATTTTATTGTATTATGTTTCATTACCTTTATCTTTTAAAGTTGCAGGATGCTTCATTTCCTTTTCTTTGATATACTCTGTAAAAATATGTAGTAGTTTAAAAATTATCAGACTAAAGAGTTAAAGACTAAAATGACTCAATGACAATGCTTGATTAGACAACTGATTGTTTCAAAGGGTCCCCAAAACCATTTCGAAATTCAGTCAAAAACTCTGATTTTTTCATAATAAAGCTACACATTTTATGTAATTACAATGTGAGAACAAAGATCACTCAAAACTTTTCTGATGTTTTCTGAAATCCTTTGCAAACCTTAGCCAATGCTTCAAATTTCAGAGGCTGTAATTCTGAGTTGCACCTACAATTCAGGCAGTATTAATTAGCCTGAATATGTCTTAAATTACAAAAAAAAAAAAAAAAAAAAAAAATTCCTTCCCAATCCAAAACTATGTGGTATCTTACAAATAAAAACATACATATTTAATGGGGATTTTAAAACAATCTAACCCTCTGTCATTTATAGTATTGTATTCTTCTATATTACCTTTATCCTTTGTTGTAACTGGAGGTTTCACTTCTTTTTCTTTTACAGGTTCTGTCAAGAAATATTTAGCACAGATACAGTGTCAGCCAGACACAAAAGCCTGGTTTATGAAATACAGAGTCTGAATCTTGTCAGATAATGAACCAGTTAGACAGTATGAGAGACTCTAGCTATACAATGGTACCAATGGCAAGTGATGAACTGATTAGAGGAGTTATCTGAAACTTGCCTTTTTTCAGTTCAGAGAGTGTGTTTTGTTGATTTCACACTGAAACTTGTAAGATTTCCTAAAGTTTAAAGAAGCAGCCCACTACAGGGGTAGGATATTCTTCTAATCCTACCTGCCATCTGAAGGGAGCAAACTGACCCATTTCTAACTCTCATCTCTTCAGATGATGTTTGGGTGACCCACTTTCATGATCTTCACTTTTTCAGGGATTTGCAAAATAATCTGAACACTTTGAATCCTCCCAATATCTTCTCAGGGGCGGATAGTCTGTTCACCCTCCTCAATTTTTTTTAACAGGCTAGGAAAAATGCCTGTGCACTGAGTATTCACTCATTGCTTTGAGGTGCCTTAACACCTTATTGAAAGTGCTTACATTGCCAACATAACAAGATAAAGACTAAAAATCAAAAGAGAATTCTACAGAAAGTGGAAACAGGATGAACTGCTAGGAGGAGAACAAAAGAGTAGTACAAGAAAGTAGAATTGTTTTTTAAAGATTAATGGCCAAAATGTGTTACTCTAGTAATGAGCATAAAAGTCAATAAAAACAAGTTATTTAAAAACATTGTAAGCTAGAGAAAGGCAAAGGAAATGGAGGCCCTCTGTTTAGTGGGAATAGAGAGTTAATAACTAATGACAGCAGGAAAGTAGAGATGTTTAATGCCCATTTTGCTTTAGTCTTCACTGAATAGGTAAATGGTGTCCAGATAGTCAACACAGTAATACTAACAATAGTGGGGAAGGAATGCCAGCCAAAATGGGGAAAGAACAGGTTAGGGAATATTTAGATAAAGTTAGTTGTATTCAAGTGGCAGGGGATGATGAAATTCATCCTCAGGTACTTAACGAACTTGCTGAAGCACACTCAGAACCATTAGAAATTATCTTTAAGAACATCTGGAGTCTGCATGAAGTTCTAGAAGACTGAAGAAGGGCAAACATAATACCTGTCTCCAAAAGGGGGAACAAAAGGGACTCAAGGAATTAAAGACTAGTCACCTTAAGTTTGATATCTGGAAAGATACTGCAACAAATTATTAATCAACTTGTAAGCATCTGGAGGATAATAGGGTCATAAGTATTGGCCATCATGGATTTGTCAAGAACAAATCATGCAAAGCCAGCCTAATTTCCTTTTGTGTCCGATTTATTAGCTTAGTGGGTAGAGAAGAAGGAAATATATCCTGATTTCAGTTAGGATTTTGACAGAGGCCCTCATGACACTCTCATGAGTTAAGCTAAGATGTTCTAGATGCAATTACAGTAAGTTAGGTGCACAATTTGTTGCAAGTTGGTACTCAAAGAATGGTAGGAAGAGATTTCAGGAGGTCATTGGAACCTGCGTGGACATGCATCCATTGGATCCTAAATCCAACACCTTAACCATTCAGTCAGCCTGGTGCAGAAGGTTGAGAAAGTTAATGGGGGAAAAGCTGTTCTTGATTTGATTTTAACAAAGAGGAAGGAACTAGCTGAAAATTTGAAAGTGGAAGGCAGCTTTGAGTGAAAGTGATCATGAAATGATAGAGTTCATGATTCTAAGAATGGTAGAGGCAGACAAGAAAAATAAAGACAATTGATTTCAGGAAGGCTGATGTAAACCAACTCAGGGAGCTCGTAAGTAAAGTCCCTTGGGAAGCAAGACTAAGAGGAAAAACAGCTGAAGATAGTTGTTCTGCTCTACTCTGCATTGATTAGGCCTCAGCTGGAATATGGTGTCCACTTCTGAACACCACATTTGAAGAAAGATTTGGAGAGGAGCCAGAGAAGAGCAACAAAAATTATTAAATCTCTAGAAAACTTGATCTCTGAGAGAAGACTGAAAATAATTGCGTTTGTTTAGTTTGGAAAAAAGACTAAGAGGGAACATAATAATAGCTTTCAAGTACTTGCAATGGCATTACAAGGAGGAGGAAGAAAAATTATTCTCCCTAATCTCTGATGATAGGACAAGAGCAACGGGCTTACTTTGCAACAAGAGATGTTTAGGTTGGACAGTAAGAACAATTTTCTAACTGTCAGGGTGGTTAAACACTAGAATAAATTGCCTAGGGAGGCTGTGGAATCCATCACTGGAGATATTTAGGAGCAGGTTAGATAAACATCTGTCAGGGATGATCAAGGTGATGTTTGGTTCTGCAATGAATGCATGGGATTGGACTTGGTGACCTTTCAAACTCTCTTCCAGTTCTAGTATTCTATGATTCTATGAAACATCTGGCATATTTATTTGGCACTACCCTGGTGTTGGGAGCTGGAATTGGTGATTTCCTGAGGTCCCTGCAAACCATACACTTCTAAGATACATTGATTTTTTTGTTCCATTTTTTGTACAGCACCTAGAGTTAGATTAATAGGATCCAAGTCCCCGACTGTGGCTCCATGTTGCTATAATAATACATTTTGCTGCTAAATAGTAAATAATAAGGTGAATGGAGAGAGGTAACTAGTAGGATCCCCAAAGGGTCTGTCCTGGGAGCAATTCTATTCAACTTATTTATAAAAGATCTAGAGAAAGGAACAAACAGTGAGGGGGCAAAATTTGCAGATGATACCAAACTGCTCAAGATAGTTAAGACCAAAGTAGACTGTGAAGAGCTTCAAAATGGTCTCACAAAACTAAGTGATTGGGAAACAAAATGGCAAATGAAATGTAATGTTGCTAAATGTAAAGTAATGCACAAAAAATAATCCCAACTATATGTACAATATAATGGGGACTAATTTAGCTACAACTACTCAAGAGAAAGATCTTGGAGTCATTGTGGATAGTTCTCTGAAAACATCCCCTCAATGTGCAGCGGCAGTCAAAAAAGAAACTAGAATGTTAGGAATAATTTAAAGGGATAGAGAATAAAACAGAAAATATCTTAATGCCTCTATATAAAACCATGGTACGCCCATATCTTGAATACTGTGTACAGATGTGGTTGCCTCATCTCAAAAAAGATATATTGGCATTGGAAAAGGTTCAGAAAAGGGAACAAAATGATTAGGGGTTTGGAATGGGACCCATATGAAGAAAGATTAAAAAGACTTGAACTTCTCAGCTTAGAAAAGAGGACACTAAGGGGGGATATGATAAAGGTCTAGAAAAACATGACTGGTGTGGAAAAAGTGAATAAGGAAAAGTTATTTACATACTCCCACAATATAAGAACGAGGGGTCACCAATGAAATTAATAGGCAGTAGGTTTAAAACAAACAGAAGGAAGTTTTTCTTCACTCAGTGCACAGTCAATCTATGGAACTCCTTGCCAGAGGATGTGGTGAAGGCTAGGATTTTAACAGGGTTCAAAAAAGAGCTAGATAGATTCATGGAGGTTAGGCCCACCAATGGCTATTATCCAGGATGGGTAGGAATGGTGTCCCTAGCCTCTGTTTCTCCAGAGATGGGTGACAGTGGAGGATTACCTGCTGTGTCCCTTCCCTCTGGGGCATCTGGTATTGGCCATTGTCTTCAGACAGGATACTGGGACGGATGGGCCATTGTTCTGGCACGGTGTGGCTGTCATTATGTTCTTATGCCCTGCCCCTTCTGGAGCCGAACACCCTCCCATCCCCAAACATTGCCCAGGGCCCAGTGAAGTCTGTTGCCAGCGTTGGTATCTCTACATTGTAGGAGAAACCCAACAGCAGTCCTATATACCATGCCATATCCTGGAACACCAAAGCAACAAATGGGTGGGCAAAAGATGGAGTTTCTGTCTCCACAATCAGTGTCCTTAATGTTGAACACTTATGTCAAGAGCCCTTATGTGATTTGAACACAGCTTTTGTGGTCAATTCCAGCAATGAAAATAAATTTAATTATATTAGCAAAATAAGCCAGCCAGCATCACGCACAGCTAAACCCATTAAGTTCAGAAGCCTGCTTATAAGAACGCCTAGTCAATGTGCATCTCCATAACTAAGAGCACCATTATTGCATTATTTCAAAAGATGTCACACCAATGATTTAATTTCAAGAGATCAAACACTTGTGAACTCAAAATCCTGAATTATTACTGACTAGGTCTTATGCTCCAAATGATCTGACAAACCAGAAAACCATTCTGAAAATGCTGCCAAGATTAATGCCATCTCCAGGAACAGCTTAGCTTTTGTAATGGTGCTGTCTCTGATATAGATGTCACTCAAGAATTAAAAGAAGGCTAGGAAATAGTAGTTTAAATTATAAATAGATGTAGGATACATTGTGACTAGATAAGATGTCTGAGATATATCATATAGTTAACACTGAAATACTATATTATAATCATGGCAAAATTATATTCTAATATGCAGGCTAGTGCCACTAATTCACACCGAAGTCCTCTGTTATTTAATCTGTACTTGTTCTTAGTACTAAACTTCCACTGACATCACAATATGCAGCTGAGTCTCAGTGATAATTAAAGATAATAATTTGATCCATAAAATAATATTTTTATAGTCTAGGTTTTTCACAGCTATGTTACAAAAAGGAGAGAAATCCCTTCATGGCAAGAGACAAACAGAGTAAACAGTAAAGAGACCTAAATTCTCCGCTTTAAAATAGAACAGAATTACTTAGCATTTCCATATTAATACTTCTGTTTACTTGATACTATTCTATCTCATCAGCCATTTCTCCATCCACCCACTACTACTACTACTACTAATACATGGCTCTCATATGCTGCTTTTGGTTTCTAGAGCTTAACATGATGCTAAGTCAGTCATAGGGAAAATGTATCTTAAAGCTTACTTGTTTCTTTCAGCTTTGGTTTATCTGAAGAAAAAAAAAATAAAAACAAAAACTCTTTAGAATTACCATTGTTTCTTGTGGGATTGAAAATGTATTGGTAACAAAAAATGGTTTGTAACAGAAGAAACCCATGGAAATGTTTTTAGTCAACAAACAAGAGAAATTAACCTTAACGATTAAGAATTAGATTGAAAGTCATTGCCATTTTATGGCTGTTTGACAGCAGATGTGAAAAGAATTCATAGATGCAGTCCAATTTTTAGTGGACATACAACCACACCACACCACACCACACCACACACATACACATACACACACACACACACCCTCCCCAAAAACAACAGGTACACTTTGCTACTAATTAGAAACTTTTGTAGCAGTGTGCAGTAAACCCGGGAATATTCTGACTTGAGTATATTTACAACTCTAGCTGTAAGGTAATTTACAGCCTGGTAAAACTCACTACAGGTTGAACCTGTCTTGTCTGGCACCGTTGGGACCTAACTGGTGCCAAACCAGAAATTTTGCTGAATCACGGGAGGTCAATATTGTCTATCAGCATTATCGACACTTCTATGCTTACTGGGCTCTTAGAAGACATTTAGTGCTAAATTAGAGCTAATAAACAGCCAGGATGAATGGTAACTAAACAATTTTACAGGACTGAAGGAAACTTGGCCCCATTCATGCTAAATGGACAGATGGCTAACTAAAATCATGCTGGACCACAGATGTTGCCAGACCAGAGAGTGCCAGACCAGAGATGTTCAACCTGTAGCTCTAATCCAGCTAGCATGCTAAAAATAGAAACATAGCCTTAGCTGGCAGTGAGAGAAACCAGACAGGCTGACTGCCCATGTACATATCTAGGGTCCCAAGCAAGGTTGTATTTGGGATGACTAGCCTGTCCTGCCATGCTAGCTACAGTTCTATTTTTAGCATGATAGCTCAATCCAAACTAGAATGCACATATGTATTTAAACTTCAAATTACCTATCCAGCTAAAGAGTAAAGAAGTAACTCACTCCTAGTCTGTACCAATAACATAATATCCTGCCCCTCTTCCCTGCTCCACATTTGCTCATCTACTTTTGGCCACTGAATAAGGTGACAGAGAGAAAATTCTGTCTGTCCCCTGAAGCTCTCCAACCCCTGATCTTCATGCTTTCCTGTAAACATTTTGCAAAGGTTGCACTAATCTCCACATTTCCACTACCATGAAAACAGGTAAATATTATCAATAATATTTTCCCCAGTTTTATATAATAATGATTTAGAATCCAAGGCAAAAGAGTCTTGATACCTGGACATTTTATTTTGAAACACTAGAATTCTTGCTTGGGTTGTTAAATTAACAACGCTGCTAACCTGTGATTTTATTATGACTCACAGTATTTTTGTGGCTCTTAAAGCCCGAGCTCCTAAAATCAGACAAGTAGGTAAGAATTTTAGCTTTCATTCAAAATTAAAATTGTAAGTTTGGCCTTCCTGTTTGTGAGAAAAAGATTGAATCTCTGATCTAATAAAACCCTAAGTCTCAAAAAACCAGAAGGCTAATACCTAAAACCCCAAATGAGGATTTTTAGAAACATCTTTTGGTTTTAACCCATGTAATTATTTTTCAGTTCTAATTCCTGAATGGTTGGGATTGGTAGCATAGAACTGGCATTACAGTCAGACAGACAGTCTTCCTTTCCTTTCCTTACTTAACTCTGGAATCTGACAACAAATATCAGAAATGGTCAGTTTTAGAGGTAGGTATATATGTGCGACAGTGCAGTGAGTGAACTGCTAGAACTACTGTACCACAAACCTGCATAGAATGCCTACAGCAGACCATGGCCATACTACTCAAGTGTTATTGGTCCATCTCTAGGTTAAGAGGTAAAAGGATATTGCCTAGAACCCAATGCAAAGCCCTTTTACTGAAGTTTTTCAAAGACTAGATTTTTATTCAACGAGTTTTTACATGCGTGTCAGGCTACTGCTGGAGTGGAAGGTACGAGTCCCAGCTTGTGCAAATGTACTTGCACTAGCTCTCATCAAGCTAACACATCAATTACAAACTGTTCAGAACTCTGGGTGGCTAGGCTGTGCTACTGCTTACACATGCTACCAGATCTATACTACTAATTTAGTGATCTAGCTCAATGAGAACTAGTGTGAGTTTTTCTATATGAGCTGGGAATCGTACCCCCAGCTCCACCTGTAGATATATCTGAAGACATGCCTCTTCTCTTCATCAGCCTTCCAGTTTTTCTTAGGATGCAAGGCAGTCTCCAGATCTTTGTAGAGACAGACCTAGATCCCCAGGAGCATAAATGGGCAAAGCTCTTTGATATCAATGGAGCTACGTTCATTTCTCCCAATTGAGAATCTGTTCCACAGATGCTTGAAGCCTCACTTGCCTTCCCATTGATTAACTCTCTTTTTAAAATGGGGACTCCACATTGCTAAGGAAAAGTCACTCTGTAGTCAGGAAATCCCCTGTGGGACAGATGAAATGTTAAGAATACAGAATGGCTCATTCACTTGAAGACACTGTGTGTGTTTTGCATTACGTAAGTGAGATGCCAAACCGGAATCCTATTTCTTCTCTGACAAACTGAGTAGATCAATGGCAGCAACTGCTACAGCAAGGAATTTAAAGGTTATTGCCATGGAGCTGTCTGTTGTCCCCCACCCGCTGCCGTTGTCTTTATGAAGCAGATACTGTCAAAATATTTCAAGTTTCTCTTTACCTTGCTCCACTGCCTTCACTGTTTTTTCTTCCTTCTTTCCAGGTATTGCTGCAAAACAAAGATAAGGTTTAAGTAAGACTTCTAGTAAATGCTGCCCCATAGACAAATCCTCTCTCAAATAATTAAATGTCTACAGATATCTCTGAAGGAAATAATTTCAAAGTCTTGTGACCACAAGATAACCTCTCATCCTCACAATAAATTGGTAACACATTTTTGACCCATCTTATAAAGAAAAAGGACTAAAGTGAAAAGGGATACTTCATTTCATTCAAAAAATGAATAACAAAATAATTTCCTTTATCTTGAAAGAAACGTAAGGCCCACGTTGTGATGAGCCTGGCATGACTGCACAGAGGAACACACAAGACACTCTCTGCTTTGCACAGTCATGCAAAAGCCTCCCATAATAGCAGTCCCTATACTCCATACTAATGATTAGTGCCAGTACAAAACCCTATGGTAAAAGTAGCTTGTTGAATCAGGGCCTAAGCACATGCTTCCCTTTAAGTATGTGAATAGTCCCACTGACATCAGTAAGACTCTATCACTGAAATACTTATTTAACTCCTTTGAAAGAAGGGGATGATAGAGATTACCTGCTCTCTGCTCGATTCTAGGACATAAATCAGCTAAAAGGTAGATAGCTAGGAAGTGTGGTGACATCCACACAAAAAGGCTACAATCCCTCCTGGCAGGTACTTAAATAGAGGCCTTCATATTTTCTGACATTTAACTTGACACATTAGGGAATATGCAAGATCTTCAAGAGATCAGTAAGTGCATTTAATAGACTATAAAAGTTTTTGTTATTCAGGGACCAAAAAAAAAAAAAAATTGTAAACATCTGCTTTTAGTGATAAAGTGTAGTGGCATCTTAACTCTGGTCCAACATTTAACATCTGTAAAATGAAGCTCTTACAAATCCTTAGGCAAAATGAAATCCCCTGTAGTATATGAAACGAACAAAAAAATCTGTGGCACTAAGGAATTGAAAGGGAAAATGTCATATCTGATTTTCATCAAACAAGTTGAGAGAAACGCAAAAAGTAATCCAAGGATAAATTGCAAGAGGTAAACTGTGTTCAGAAAATTATTTTACTTTCAACAATCTAAGGCATTTTTGGTAACAAAGGGAAGTATGTTTCTTTATTTGTATTATAAGAATTTTCAATTAGCCCCCTCATTTTTTTCCATTCTGGCACAAGAAAACATTAAGTATAAAATTTTATGCTACAAGGAAAAAAATCAATGATTTTGCTTTTAAAAGTAATACTAATGGTTACAGTCAGTCTGCCATGTTTACTTAAATTGATTAGTTCCTGTCGAAATCAATGAGGCTATTCACAAGGGTCTTGAGCCAGCAACATGCTGAGGACTCTGGCCCCACTTCACCAAAAACATGCCAGCAAGTGCTCAACTTCAAGGGCTTGGCTATACTACAGAGTCTATAAGGTCATAACAACAGCACTGTACCTATGCTAGCACAGGTGTAGTGTAGATTCAGCCTTTGTTGTAGGAAAACCACTTTCCTTGAGCAATGGTAGTTAGGGCATCAACCTAACTGCATCGACACTGGAGAGTAGATCAGATTATATCAGGCTATAGTGCAGGTTGTAGAATTTTCACCCCATGAGCTATGTTGATTTAAACTTTAAGTGTAGGCAATGCCTCAGAATGTGAATAATCTCATTTACTACTATAGTACTTAAGCAATTAGCAACAGCACATTTATGTGCTTATCTTGATTTAGCAGGATTGAGCCCATTGTAAATTACCACTCACTGTGAACAAGGGCAGTGGAAGCTGAACTACATGCATTTTGAAATGTACATGTAACTACAAAACTGCTATGATAAAGACCAAATGAATTTTTAAGTATGTTTGTTTTCTCTGAATGACATTTACCTTTCTTAGCTGCAACTGCAACAACTTCCTCTTTGGCTTGTTGAGTTTCTGAAAATTCAGGACATTGATGGAATGAAAAACAGACTTCAGAAGTCCCTCAAGGATACCAGATAGCAACCCAAAATAGCATTTGCAATGAGTGGCATCAAAATAGCAAAGGACAGCAAAGTGAGCCATAGCACATACTGTAATATAAAGGTGCTTGTTTGTTAATAAAAACAATCTTACTGATGATCTCACATTTATGGAATCAGGGGAAACACAGTGCAAAGAGAAAAAATGATGAGAAAGCATAAAAGTGGGAAAAAAATCAGGTTAGGTCATTTTAATCTATAAAATCTTCACATTGAAGGCCTGAGAACCCTGATGTTGATGGTAAAATAAATCTATTCAGTGAGCAGGCATATAACAGGCTAAACCTAGGATTAATTTTTCTTAAAACATTATAAATCTGTGAAAAAAAAAAACTTTTCCCCTTTTGATACCTTGTCAGATAAAACCTAAAGGAGTTGAATATCAAATGCCAGAACAGTTCCAAGTTTTAAGATAGAGATAAGCCTGTCCTGCAAAAATCTGATCCAGATTTCTAAGCTCTCCCCATTTGAGGGCATTTGGATTTAAAGTTTTGGTTAAGTCCATTAAAACAATAGAAGCCAATCAGGAAATTTGAGCTAGATGCCAGACCTTACTTCCCCATATTCTGCCCTCACCCTGCAAAAAAGATTTGGAGGATTCTGGATTTAAGGGGTTAAGTTTGAAGCTTTCTTGCATTAGGAAACTTAACTTTTCTCCATCACTGAATAACAAAGCTTAACAGCAAAAAAAGCAGTAAACTTCTCTAGTTTTTCATAATTATCACTTTAAGACTCATTGCCCACAGGGAAATCTCTTCAAGATTACCAAGTGCCACTCAGAACTAATGAATTTTCAAAACTACTGCATTGTCATTTTTATATTAAATGGATATACAAAGCTCATTTTTAAAGTCCAGAATATAGACAAAATTCATGATGAAATTAAAAATGCCCCATTGTATGTCAATCAAGATAAGAAACCATGTAAACATTCCACTAGTGATCAAAATGGCTGCACTGCTCAAGGGCAGTGCAGATTGAAAAGCCCAAGTCAAAGCATGTGACATCTGGGAACAAAGTATTCTTAGTAACGTCCTGCTTCCTAAACCACCCTCCATATCACTCCTCCTCCATAAAAATAAGATTGTTTTTAAACTAAATGAAAAATATAAAAAGTCGAAACACTCCTCTAGCCCAAGCAGAATTTTGACCACAAAAAGCAAGGGTGACAGAGACTCCTTGCAATCCCCTAGAGATGTTGCCATTCCTATAGATTTTATTTGGAATATATCCAGATACTACAGTGATGGGCTGCTGAATAAACCTTTATGATTGATAAATGAATTACCTTAATAGATAGAAAACTTTTCTTAACATCTAACCTAAATCTAACCTAAATCACCCTTTCTGAAGATTAAGTTCATTTTTTTGCTACCTACACTGTACATGGAAAACAACTGATTACCATCTTTTTATAACAATCCTCTTTATAACTATTCTGTATTTTATAGTTGTACATTTGATTTTTCTTCCTTCTAAGTGCAGTACTTTCCACTTGTCTTTTTTGCTTTCCATTGTTGACTGTTGATTTCAGATCATTTCTTTTATTTGGCAAGGGATTTTGAATCCTAAATCTGTCCTCTTCTCACAAGTTGATATTATCTGCACATTTACTGACCATCAAAGTCATTAATGGAAATATTAACTATAGTACTGGTCCCAGGCCTCACCTAAGTGTGGCCCCCTGTAGAAACACTTTCTCAGTCTGAGACCAAACCATCAATAACTACTCTCTGAGTTGTTCACCTAACTCACAGTAATTTCATCTATACCTCATTTCTCTATTTTGTTTATGAGACTATCATGCAGGCCTGTGTCAAAAACTTTACTAAAATCAAGATATATCATCTCTACTGCCTCTGTGTTATCCTCTAAGACAGTAATCCTGTCAAAGAAGGAAATCAGGTTGGTTTGGCATAATTTGTTTATGACAAAATCCATGCTGGCTATTCCTCATATCCTTTTATCCTCCAAGTGCTTACAAACCAAGTATTTAATAATTTGTTCCAGTATCCTTCCTGGTATAAAAGTTAGGAAAACTGGTCTCCCTCTGATAACTCATCAGAGAAATACTAAAAAAGTAAAGACTAGATATGCCCAGGTTTTTTAACCTTTCCTCAGAGGTCAAGTTTTCTAATCTTTTTAACATTTCTGTTGCTCCATTGTTAGAAAAGAGACAAATAAGGGGAATTATGATTGAAGTCTACAAAATCATGAAAGGCATGAAAAAATAAGCAAGTGTTATTTATCCCTTCACGTAACATAAGAACAATGAGTTATCCAATGAAGTCAATAGGCATCAGGTTTATGACAACCATAAAGAAGTAGCTCTTTACATAATGCGCAGTCAACTTGTGGATCTCGTTGCTCGGGTGATGTTGTGAAGGCCAAAATGTAACTGGTTCAACAAAGAATCACATAAGCTCAGTGAGGAAGGATCCATCAATGGGTTGTAGCCAAAATAGCCAGGGACACAATCCCAATTCAAGAGGTCACAAAGAATGTGATTTCCAAAATTTGGGACTGGACAACAAGTAAATTGACAATTTCCCTGTTTTATTCATTCGACTCTGAAGCATTTGGCTCCAGCCACATGCCAGAAAAATCACTGGGCTAGACTTACTATTGGTTTGACACAGTATGTCTGTTTTTAATCTCCTGAACTGGAGAGAGTTTCCAATGTCTGAAGAAGAGAGTTAAAACAAAACTTTCCTCATGTCCCTGTTATAGCAGCAGTCATTGAGTTTGGTAGCCAAGATACATTCTGACAGATGCTAAGCCTGAACTGGGAAGATGCTAAGAAGATAAAGAGCAACAATGGGCAAATAAATAGATATAAAAGACAAGGGACATATATTAGCCTTGTTTAAGGTGTAACTACTTCAGCCTACAGAAATTGAGCCTACAGTACAATGATTTGGTCCATACAGTACAAAAAAATTCCAACTTTAAGTCTTTCTGAGTAGTGAAGGAAACAGTAACAATATTTTAATTATTACAGACTTTTCATTATCAAACAAAGGATGTTGGCAATCCTTTAAAGTTTAGGATTAAATTAATACTTTGTGTTAATATGTGAAACTTTATTGAATTTTATAGAGTTATCCTAGGATGGATTTTGGTTACTTTAACCAAATATAGATTGCTGACTGACTAAAACACAAAGAAAATGTAAAAGGGAACATTTCTACCTTCCTTATATGCTCTTATAAGAAATCAGAAGGTTTGTGTTTTATCAAATGCAGATTCTTGTTCTGTATAGATAACAGGGCAAAACAAAGTAGACTAATGTGTGATTTACTACTCAATGAAGCCCTCCCTAGGAAAACCAAATAGGAGGATGGGAATTTACTATCAGAATTAGTCAGCTAGCAATTCCATTGCCATAAAAAGCAAATAAGTAAAAATGAGACAACTGTTGCAAGACATAATAGAATACATGAAAACAATGAAAATACAGCTGGATTGAAGAAGAAGGAGGCTAGTTATGGCTAAAAAAAACTGATGTATGAATTGGAGTTTTAGCAGGATATGTAAAATGTATGGCTGTGTCTACACTGTCCACTTATTCCGGAAAAGCAGCAGCTTTTCTGGAATAACTTGCCAGCTGTCTACACTGGCTGCTTGCTTTTCCGGAAAAGCATCCTGCCAATGTAGACGCGCTTTTCCGCAAAAAAGCCCCGATCGTCCTTTTCGCGATCAGGGCTTTTTTGCGGAAAAGCGCGTCTACATTGGCAGGATGCTTTTCCGGAAAAGCATTTTTTCCGAAAAAGCGTCCATGCCCATGTAGACGCGCTTTTCCGCAAAAAAGCCCCGATCGTCCTTTTCGCGATCAGGGCTTTTTTGCGGAAAAGCGCGTCTACATTGGCAGGATGCTTTTCCGGAAAAGCATTTTTTCCGAAAAAGCGTCCATGCCCATGTAGACGCGCTTTTTCCGGAAATACTTATAACAAAAAACTGTTCCGTTTTAAGCATTTCTGGAAAAGGGTGCCAATGTAGACGTAGCCTATAAGTAAAAAGGATTTTGGATTAGTATATATTAAAAGATGCTTAGAACGGAAGGTTTATGCATAAGGTTGTTTTAATAATATGCACCTGTGTAATGTTATGAAACAAAGTATAAAGAATGTGTTTAGTAAAGGTAGTGGAGCAAAATAGGATTGGACCAGCCTGGATCTGCTGATGACAAAAATGGCTTACCCACATCCAGGACTCAGTAACTGATGATTATGCTAGCCTCAAATCTGATTTAAGATTTATGCTTGATCAAGGTGGTGGTACATTGCCTTAACATGTTCTTATTAAAGCTTTAAATTAAGCTTTGTTTTTCGTACGGACTGTGCTTTTTCATTCAACCATATAGATGCAAACCTCAAGCTGGATGTTCATTTTTCAGACCTACTCTAAAGTGCTATCATTTTTTACACTGAAGCATGAATCTGCTGCAGAAAGTGTCTTCCACTACAACTCATAGATGCATACATTATGATTATCTAATTTCAGTGAAACTCATATATTAGAGCTATTCTTCAAATCTAATGTTAAAAACAGTTTTTGTGAACAGACCAATTTTTATCTAATTTTGCAGCACAGAGTTCACTGGGGGATTTTGTACCCAAACTTGGAACACTCTTTAGAAGAGGAAAGTACTGCACTGAGAGCTCTATTTCAAAAGCTGTGCTCTTTCTGGATGCCAACTTATCAGTTTTCTATATACTGTAATACAAGTCAAGAGACCAGTTAGAAAAGAATGACATAATTGCACGAGACTGCTCTCAATGACCTTTCAAAGTCTATTCCAGTCCTAGGATTCTAGATTATGAGAGTCTATGACGAGGGTGGGAAATAAAACACCAGCAGCCTGCAGTGTTAGTCCCTGGTGGGCCGCCACTCCTATGTTTACCTACGCCTCTGCAGGAGTCAGGCAATTGCAGTTCTGGTTGGCTATGAATCACCTTTCACAGCTAATGTGAGCAGCAGGAAGCATTGCGACTGGGATGCCATTTCCTGCCACTCACATCGGTTGCGAACAACAATTCATGGCCAACCAGAACTGTGATCCTCTGATACTTGCAGAGGCGGAGGTAAACATGGAGTCATGGGCCTGGCAGAGACTAACCCTGTGGATCGGATCCAGCCCACAGGCCAGATTTTAGCCACCTCTGGTCTATGAACTATGATTACAACACTTAATAGAGTCCAACAGAACATGTTCAGAAAGTAGCCAGAAGAAAACCTCATGCCCAATCCTTCAAGGTTCAGGTGCTGCACTCTTTCAAACTGCCATTGATGCTGATTGGCCCTGAAGGTGTTCAGAACCTGGCAGGTCTAAGCCCAATGATGTTGGCATATATAACGCAAATAAGGCCTGACAAAGATGACATACAGTACAGCATGGGAGCCATAATTGTGTTCCAAAAAGGATTTGCTCAACAGCTCCAAGAAAGGAGAAAAATAGCTTTTCGCATATGCCCATAGCTACAAAATGATATTTATTTCTCACTTCAGCTTTTCTAGAGTTTGCAACATACTTGTTTTCATTAGTTTCTCTATTTTGGCTGTTGGAGGCATAAAGAGAAAAATGTTTAAATTAATCTAGTTTTTATTTTGGTTAGCTGCAAAATGATAGTAGCATTATAATTTACCCTTTGAATCAGAAACCCTAAATACACCAGATAGAGAAAATTCTTTCAGTTTTGATTTTGTTTATGTTACTTGTAGAGGAGGGGTAGGAAACCTAAGGATCTGCCTGGATCTGGCCTCCAGCGCTTGGGTCTTGCCCAGCATTGGGGAGTCCATGCTGGCACTCCAGTCCCCCTCCCCCTCCTGCTTCCTTCCCAAAGCCCTTTGCTCAGGAGGGATTTTTCTGTGGGTCAGCAGCCCCCGATCCAAAAAAAGTTCCCCACTCCTGTCATAGGGAGTCTGATTCTGCAACATATCCTCACACTGGAATGCACTCAGGTGATTATGTCCATGAAGTTCAGTGAGACTAGCTGTGCAAGTATTTACCACTTACTGTACAAAGGATTTCAGTTTGGGTGGTATCTGAGGGAGTGGTCTGTAGTGGATAGAGCAAGGGATACAAAATCAGATGTTCTGGGTGCTAGTCCCTCGGAAAGTCATTTTTGCTCACACCACCAGGCAGTGACCCTCCCCACTCTGCACTTTTATAGATGAGTAGTTATTCTCACAAATAGTCCCTTTAATTTCAGTGGAACTATATCTGTAAAGCATGGCACTATTCAAAATGGATAAGTATAGCAGAATCTGATGCAGAGGGCATTAGTCTTCCTTCCTTTAAAACAGGATTATTGATGCCTACTTAGTTCACAGCAATGCTGTGCTCTTTAATTGCCAGTTGCAAAGTGCATAAAGGTGATAAATACATGCAAAGTGCCATTTGTATAAATAGAGTCTAGAGAGAACACCATTTAATTTTGGATTCAGGTCATTCAAAGTGCACCTCCAAATCCGTGATTTATTTTTAACATGTAAAGACATGATTTTTTTTCAGGTTTGTAGAAATAATGTAGCATCCTTGCATGGTGCTTAAAGTTTCTGTGACTCCTCCTACTTCCCCATCAAACAGCAAAGCCATAGAGAAAGTACCACTAGATCTAAGCTTTTTTACCCAACTTCCTACAGTATTTATGCAGAATTAATAACAATAATATTTTTAAGACAAAGCTGGTAAAGAAGATGCCCCTTTTTCAGTCTGTACAAAACTTTGTCCCACTCTGTAAAGAAAACCACACAGTCAATAGCTCATGCAAAAAGTGTGCAGGGAAATTAGATAAATGATTCCCTTTTCACAATATTCCACGTCTATGTAAAGAGTTGGCCGAAGCCACATCTTGCCCTCTTTAAATCCACAAAGGCATTGGGGTTTAGGCACTTATGTCCCTTTGTGGATCTAGCCCTTTATGGATTTAGACTGGGTAGGCAATAGCTTCTGAATCACAAAGACTGAGGGAAACTGCCACCTGGCATGCTATGGAGACTTCAGGACAAAGACAACTGGCTGTCGGAGCAGCTTGCTCGGTGGAGAAGGTCGAGGCATTGCTATAGTTTCCAATAAAAATCCATATGGCTCTAATCAAATCTTTACATACCTCTACTGACCGTGATATGGCCTTTTTGTATTAATGAAAATATACATACACATTCTTCCATTTTCATTTTTAAAACACATTCAGTTACTCACCTTTTCCCTTATGACTTCCCACAGATACTGTAAAATAAATGAATATATTCTAAGAAATAAACTTTATAATGCATACAAAAACATTTGTCCTTTGCTAAGATACTCTCTTTGGAGCTGGTTAAAATCTACAGAAAGCAAGGCTAGCCATTGAAGTATATATGGAGCTTGAAAAGTTCCACTTTTTTCAGCAAGCCTATACTGCATACATGGAAGAATGGCCTCATAGTATGCATATAGCAGACACACGGGAAAAGAAACAATCCAGATATTTCACAAACATCTCAATAAGTCTGGCGGTTAGTAGTATTTGTCTCAAGTCAGCTGAAATATTTATGTGCAGAAGATGAAAAATAGCATTCTAATAATCATTCAGACAATGACATGTAGATACAAAAGACCATATCACATAATTCAGTCTAATTTACCTACCAGTGTTTGATATTTAATTATTGGATGTTCTTTCTTTCTAAAGCATAACTGATCAAAATGTCATACTCCTCATTGCCTTGTTATTAGATTCTTCATATTTATTGATGCCTGGGATGGATTTACATCCCTCACCCAATGGTAGGAAGAAAATAATATTTCCCTAAATGTCTGTGCTAATTGGAAAAAATTGCCATGAAACTCATCTACAGACACTGGATTCATCTATAAAATTGGGCATCAAAGAAGTCTATAAGAAGAGTGAAGACTGTGTTTGGAGGGGTGTGAGAAATGGATCCAGCCAGAAATCAAAGGAGAGTCTGGCTGCAAGAAATCTTTTTCTCTTTCTACTGAAATGAAATATTGTTGTAAAAAAGAATGCAGTTTGGTTGTTTGAAAAAAGAGGATGGGAAAAAACCCTGACACAGTTTCTTCTTCATTCCAGAGCCAGACTTACTTCCTCCCTTGCACAAATAAAAAGGAAGGAAACCGAAATAAAAATCTAGCCATTCAAAAGAATAAGGGTGTCCTGCTTAGCTGCATGTCATTGGCTCTCAAGTACAACAGAATGGCTAGGTTATCATGCTCCATCACAATTCTAATAAATTTGAGTAAATTGGCTAATCTGTTCTTTTCTAGAACAGTTCATTTCTCAGCTCTTGGGTTAATTTAGGTTTAAGATTAAATTAAGAAAATGAGACTCAAGTAGATTTGTGTATGTTTTACCAGGTGCTTTTAGAGCTACTACAGGTATTTCCTTCTTCGATGGTTTGGCTGGAATAAATAAGAAAAGGTTGGTTATTACTGTGTGGGAGTTGCCACTAAAACACTGAGTAGCACTGATGAAAAATAAGACTAAAAATTGAGCTATTTACCAGTTTCCACCAGCTTTTCCTTCTTGGATGATTCTGAAAATGTAAAAAAGGAAAATGTTTTAGCACTACTTTGGTAATGCTGTTACATTTACTCCCTTAAAAATACTTTTTGTGAAGTGATCAGACACTGCTGAGCTAATGAAATCAGATGAAATGCCAATATCAGATTGTTAAAAGTTAATTTCATAGGTGACTTTAAAAGCAATTAAAGAGAAAACACATTTGACATTATATAAGGTCTGTTTCCCAATCTCTTCCACAATGAGATTTCCACAGAACATCAGTCACACCACCTATACAACTGGTCCCCCACAACACAGATTCAAGGCTGTAGGGCATAGCCAACCAGGGAGAGAGGGGAAGGGCTGGAGATGTTTATCTGAAATGTTAAATTTCCTATTATAATGGACTAAAATTCATATTAAATAAGAAAAGGGATGAATTAATGCTGCTTGGAAATTAAGTAAATATTTCATAAGGTATAAGCAACTAAACTATTTTTGCATGTTTGGATGTAAGGGAAGGAGGGGGAAAAAGAAAGAATGGAGTCTGGAAGATACTTTGGTTGATTTAACCAGTGATCTCAGTAACATCTTCAACATTGCTGCACACTCCTTCAGAATTCATTTGTATGTATAGTATATAAACATATTTTAATAAATATTCTTCCCCCACTTATGTTTACCTCTCTGAAATTGAAGAATATGTAATGATAGTTTCTTTGACTTCAGGGCTACTGACTTCTCCCTATTTTCCCACAATCTCTCTAAACTCAGGTCAGGAAAATCAGGACAGAACATGTATGGCAGAATGGCTACGTCTACACTGGCATGATTTTCCGGAAATGCTTTTAACGGAAAACTTTTCTGTTAAAAGCATTTCCGGAAAAGTGCGTCTAGATTGGCAGGACGCTTTTCCGCAAAAGCACTTTTTGCGGAAAAGCGTCCGTGGCCAATCTAAACGCGCTTTTCTGCAAAAAAGCCCTGATCGTCATTTTTGCGATCAGGGCTTTTTTGCGGAAAACAAATCTCTGTTGTCTACACTGGCTCTTTTGCGCAAAAGTTTTTCGGAAAAAGACTTTTGCCCGAACGGGAGCAGCATAGTATTTTCACAAAAGCACTGACAATCTTACCTGAGATCGTCAGTGCTTTTGCGGAAATTCAAGCGGCCAGTGTAGACAGCTGGCAAGTTTTTCCTCAAAAGCAGATGATTTTGCGGAAAAACTTGCCAGTCTAGACACAGCCCATATGTATGACTTTCACTTTAAACATTTTTGTACAACCTGAAATTTCATTTTTATTTAGCAAATTCAACAAGGTTCTTCCAGAAACATATGGAATCCCTTTGTACAAATATCTACATCTTTCAACGGGGAAGTATATAGGCAATAACTAACAGAATTACTTATGAATGTTGGATCACAATCTGAATTTATGGGTGACTTACTTCCACACTGCTATAATGGACTACACCAAAACCTGTCCCAAAAGCCACAAGCTTTGGGAAAATTTAAATCTGGATCTTGCCTTTGGGGCTCAAGCCATTGTTACTAATTTAGAAGTATTTTCTTCTATTAATTAATGGTCAGTGTGACACAGAAGAAGATTGTTTTCTGTTGTACAATATACAAATTTGACATTTGCCATGGCATTTGTAACAGTAAGATTTGGTCATGAATTTATAAAAATGTATTCATTTATTAGCCAATACAAAACTATCTTTATCCAGATCACAGCTTGTGGCTCAGAACAAATATATATTTTACCATATGTGTAACTGATTTTTTTTTCAAGATTGACACTAGTCTGAAGTTTTACCAGATTCTACAAATTTTGAAGTTTTTATCTAACCATTGTTTGCCTTTTTTAAAGGCAATAAAATGTTTGTTAATTGTTCATGAAACTACCTAAATGCAATTTTGTTTTGCTGCTAGTGATGCATCTTTTATATATCTTTAGAGAGAGGAGAGACAGAAGAGTATCTCTGAGGCTATTATTTATGCCACTCCATTCCTTAATCTGCAAATGGTGTGTTCGGGTTGGTGTATTCCTGCAGTGTACCACATATCTTCACCAGCAGCCAATTCTCAACTGTGATCTTCTCTTACCCATTGGCAGAGAAACAGTCACTATGTTCCCATTTTTACTCTCTCTCTCATTATATATATGCCTTTCAATTAATTCAGATAAATTATTTTAATCTTAAAGCAGTCATGTGAATAAGTGAAATTCATGTGAAACCAGTGACAAAGTTGAATATCTATTAAATTGCCTATTTTTTGTCCTAAAATATAAACTATACTATAATGAATATCATTAGGCTTTTTGGATTATATTTCAGGGAAACCAATTTCTGCACAGGAATATTCAATTTCTGACACAAAGATTGTAATAAATCCTATTTTATATTCACAAAAACACAGAACTGCCAAATCCTGTTCAGTATGGCATATACCACAAATCTTTAGATTGGGAAGCTAACAGTGTTGTATCTTTTTGTTTGCTTGCTTGCAATTTTCCTATTGACTTCTTCAAGCATTTGTTACCCATTTTTCTTCAATTTCTGAAGAGCACTAATACTCCTCCCTTATTATGGTTTTCACACCAGCTTTATGGCTTCCCTTTAGTAAATGACATGACATAGTTTCTCTTCAGAATGATGGAGAAGGAAGAATAGGTTTTGGTATATCCTCACCCAGGAAAAACATGCAATCTCCAGAAATCATTAATCTGAAGAGATCTCCTGCCATGCCTGAAATAATAGTGGCACCATTTCTTCAGAGAAACATAAATACAACCATCTGATACCTGACCACTCTTAATTAAGCATAGCTAACAACTTTCCCACCCAAGCCAGGTTAGCTTTTATGAGTCCATCAGTAGGATCAAATAGAAAAAAATGTTTCCCGAGTGAAAAGAATTGAAAGTCACTGACAGAAACAAAGATCTTGGGGAAGCATGATAGAACAATAGTTCTACTCCAACCATGGGAACCTGGGCAGTAGAATCTGGCTTCCCAGACATGCTGGATGGCACCATGTCTTTCTTACATCTTCAGGATATATTTTTTTCAGAGGAAGAGAAACCTTCTCCTTTTCGTGTCACTCCAATATGCCTGATAATTCCAGCAACTTAGACTCTATGGAAGCCAAAGGAATATCCACAGACACAGCCAGTCACCCCACTAGATTCTGATATGCTCTGTTGTATTCTGGAGAAGCAGGGTAAGTCAGGACAGAATCAGAGGCAAATGACAAAAAGAATATAGATGCTACGTCTGTTGTGCCTGTTCCTTCAACCCTTCCTCTGAGGCAATCTCAGAAATATCATTGCTTAGAACTGCAATTTTGGAAATGAATCACAGGTAGATGAAAACACTCAGGTCAGAATGCCCATTAGGGCACAGATGGGTAGACACCAATGGGTGCTTGCCCCTTTACTCTTAGAAGAATGATACTCTTTTACTGAAGCTGCATAGGCATATCCCTAAAAGCCTCCAGATCAGAAACAGCAACACTAGATTAATTCCCGGAAGGAAATTTTTGTTTCCTAATTTCCCACCAATTTACAAAGTACTGAAGCCTATGTAGAGGTTTGAAAAACAAGGAAATTTGGCTCTAGAGAAAACTGTTAATCCTCCGAGTCTGAAATGGAGTTAACATGACATCAGAGGCAAGGAATTAACCATTGACAGAGCCTTCCCTAAAGCCATTCAGAATCATAAACTTAGTGTGGACAAAGATGTCCATTTTTAATGCACAACAAAGCAGAATCAGCCATCTCAGACACAAATACATTCCATCACTCTTAAAAACGTACAACTTAAACAAACTGATTCTGAGGCACAACCAGTAAAAGAAAAAGTCTATTTTAATTTCTTTGTAGAGTCAGAGGATCACTGACTGGCAGTAGATCTTCCCTGGCATTTGTATTCCTCCTTCATCTTCTTTTTAGGGGGAGTAGCAGACGGATCTGTGGTGTATTTCCAAACATTAGGTTTCTGTGACAACATTTAATTATTGAATCACAGAAAAGTCAGGCTGGAAGAGACCTAAAGAGGTCAAATAATCTATCCCTCTGCATAGAGGCAGGGCTATTCCCAATACCTGTTTCTCTAATCTGTTCTTAAAAACTATGGTGGTGATTTTACTGCAGCAATGGGTAACCTAGGGTAGTAAGTGGGCCACACAAGTGGCCCTCCATCTCAGTGGACTGCAAGATTGTCATAACCAAGATAGTTTCTGGGATAGGGTAATTTTGCTAACTGCGCTTGCACACCTAGAATTTGTGGATTTGCGGAGTGTGTTGGTAGAACCATAACAGACCTTTGATTGGATGCAATGGGAGCTCATGGCTCTCATAGTCAATGATGTGTACAATCAGCATGCATCTCACTTCATGTGCACTTGCTTTAAGTGTGTGTCACTTTAGTAATGACTGTGGAATAAACTGACTTGGACAGCAGCCAGAGAAACTTGACAACCCTGCGCATGGGAACGGGTAAACAAAATGTCTTGTGCATGAAACATAGAACCTTGCTGGGCCGCATGTGGTCCTTGGACCAGAGCTTACCCATTGCTGTTCTAGAGCCTCCTTAGATAACCCATTCCAGGGCTTAATTGTCATCAAAACTCATCCTCTATCATAAAAAGGTTTGGCTTCAAGGAATCTGCATTTTCTGATAAAAAAATAGTTTGTTGGAAAATACCTGATCAGTTCAAATTTTGTAATTTCTAATTCTGTACAGTTCTATGGCCCTAGAACATTAGATTAATGTACATGATCACCTAATGGTTAGATACTCGCGAAGGGTTCTGCAGATGCATAGCAGAGCATAGAACACCCACAGAAATTCTCAGCAAGGGAGATGTCTTGAAGGACATTATCAAACCAACAAAAAGCATCAGGAGTAGTGTGCAGCTCTGACAGTCAAAAAAAATGCTAGAAGCATTTTAGTGTATGCAACAAAATAAGGCATGTCAGCATCAGCTATTTTTGAATATTTAAAGCTCCAAACTTGGGCATTCAAAGATTATGCAGGAACCGTTATGTAAGAGGAAAATGCTGTGCACTATTTTTGGGCACTTTGAAAGAGAAAATGATAGATTTTGCACAGTGTATTCAAAGACTATGTTTGGTATATAGGTTATTGGGCTCAACTTTAAAACTAAAAATTGAGCCCATTTATTCCCTGAAAACTGCTTATTCAATGTAATACAAGATTAGCAAGATAGCATTTACAGCAGATGCACAGCCTGAGATGTCAGTCACAGAGTATTTAGCCCTTATGACCCTTATTCAGCAAAATACTTAACATATGACTAAATGCTTTGCTGAAGAATGAAACTCTTAAATATGTGCCTAAGTATTTTGCTGACCTTGCCCCCAAAATCTTGCAAATCAACAGTTAATTGTGAATATTCCAGTGCTTTTATAATCTGTCAGATATCAAGCAAACCCCTTGGAAGACATTCACACAAACAACAGATATTTTTAAAAAAATCATTTACATGGCTTAGATCTCATTCTCCTCTTATCACTATAAGAAAGGCAAAAGCCTGAATAGCAACTTCTCTATTTAACAGATAGCTTGCTCCCCCTGCCTTGTTCTTGAAGGACTGTCATACTCCAGTCTAAGTAACAAAACACTGCTTCCAATATATTAAATAGTAAATCACACATTACACTGTTGCAGGCATGCAAGATCAGTAATACTTACAAGGGAGAAAGAGTCTATTTTACATTTTCATAATCAGCAATAGTGCAGAAGGAATTATTGAAAATTCATTAAAAACAAATTTGGCTGAATATATATTTTTACAGTATTGGTGAATATCGTGGAAGCTCACTTCACATTAAGCCATAATATGCTAACTGGGTGAATGTTTCAGAGTCCTAGCAAAAGTTGTGAAATGTCTTGGATTCTATTTTTAAAGAACTCTATTGAAGAATAAGAATCAGATATCAGATTAGAAAACTAAATTGTTCTGAGAATGAACTACTTTACATGCCATTAAAAAAATCCTGTATTTAAAGATTTTAAGATTCCAAAGTGAAGCATTCTAAAGTTGGGAGAAGTGGAAAAAAGAAAGCCTTTGCAACCTTAACTCTGCCTCCTTGTGGGTATACATTATGATATAGATCACACACTAATATTTCCTTTCCCATTTAGAGTTAGGTCATTTCCCACTCTCCACGTCCACACAGAAGCATAAGGGGAGTGAAACCTAAACCTCTGCATACCTTCTTCCAAGCCTATTCCTACTCTCCACAATAGTTAGACATGCCAGAGCCTTGACTCTACCTCCCAATATTTCAGTCAATACAGAGTTTTCCAAGTACTGCATCAAGGAAGTTGACGTTATGAAAGCAATGGGCTTAAATTGCAGCAAGGGAGGTTTAGGTTGGACATTAGAAAAACTTCCTAACTGTCAGGGTGGTTAAACACTGGAATAAATTGCCCAGGGAGGTTGTGCAATCTCTATCACTGGAGATATTTAAGAGCAGGCTAAACAGACACCTTTTAGGGATGACCTAGACAGTACTTGGTCCTACCATGGGGGAGGGGTAGGGGGAGGGGCGGGCGGAATGGACTCGATGACCTCTCAAAGTCCCTTCCAGTCTTAATGTTCTATGATTCTGTGATTCTATGAAAGGAGATAGGGTTGTGGACAAGAGATGTAGCAATATAGACTGAGAAAAAAAAAGATCTTGGAAGTGATATGGAAGAAGAAATAGTAAGATCAGAATAAGATTAGAATACTGTCTTAACACATGGATCTACAGAGCCACCTGCTGATGGTTAACATGAAAAATAAATTGAAATACTTGCACTTCTCAAACATACACTTAAATTATTACTGTTATTTAAAAAAGAATAGATCTTATCATTTAATGGCAGTCATGTGTGTTATCTGTGCTTTTAAGTATTTCCCGTACCTCTTAATAGTTTCCCACAGAAGCTTTCCAGAAGAAGATATTTGCTAGAGCCCAGCTATTTAAAAGAACATTTTCCCTCTAACACGTATTTTACAGTCCCATAAATGATGTTAATTTGCTACATTGCTTCCCTTAGTCAGCAAAATTTTACACATGAAAATGACCTGCAAAGATGAAGGTTTTTTCCTTACCTTCTGCTATTTTAGCTGCTGCTGGTGTCTTGGAAACTAAAAATAAAATAATTATGTTTGATATAATCAGTCAACTATCGAGTTTTGGCAATTTAGACAATACTTTTTCAATGTAGACATGTTTGGTTGTTGTATATCTCAACAATTCTTGCAAAAACTAATTAAATGTTCTTGAACATGTTGCAAGTGTTGATTTTGTATTTCCTAAGGGAAGATAACGTTCCATATGAATGGTTTTTTTTCAGTTGTTACATCAGAATTTGTAAGGGGGGGTGGGGATAACGGATGGCTTATTCCAACTTCTGTAAACCTCATTCCATGAAGAATAATGCCTATTTCGAAATAGCTATTTTGAAATAAGGCATGTGTAGTCACTCTACTTCTGCTATTTTGAAATAGTCCCTCACCAGGGCCATTTTAAGTTATTCTTCCTGGGGCTCTAAATCGAGATAGCATGTCTACATTAGGGAAGCATGTCTCAGACTAATTTTGAAGCTTCCCTGCAGTTAGATGTGCTATTTCGAAATTAGCTATTTCAGAATAACTATTTCGGAATAGCTTATTCCTAAATAACTGCAGTGTAGATGTTACCTTAGTGCTGTGTGGATTCTGTTCACATGTAGTGCTATCAGAAGACTTACACGAGGTTTAGAAGTAAGTTTCTTATTTCCACTCTAGCTTGGGAAATGCACAAAAAGGTAGCATATTCCATACTTAAAGAGAATAAACATTTAGTTCTGATAAATGTTCATAACTTTGGAGATTTATTAGAATTATCTGAATTTTCTGAGTCTATGGAACTGAACTGGAAATCTGGTCATAAACAAGCCCTGTTAGCAAGGAAAACCAAGAAAAATTTGGAATATCAGTTTTGACAATCAAGTACTGTACATTTACTGAACTTGGTCATGCTATAGATACCTTCAATTTCCTGTTGAGGAGCTCTATCAGGCATCAAAATTCCCTCAGAACATTCTTTGCTTTTTCTATTTAAAATTACAGGATTCAAGCCATAAAATAACCAACTTTTAATCATGAGAACTAAAATTCAGAGAGTAGATTTTCTTTGTGGGGAGAGGATAAGGGAGAATACAGGAGAAACAAAGAAAGACAGTTCACATTAACAAAAAATAGCATTTATTTTATGAAGAAGTGCTCTACAACCTGCAATTAAATATCTCTAGTCTTTGGCTTTTCATAGCATATATTTTGATTCAGAGCTACTTTCTAAGCACCATACCTCTAATATTGCTAAAAAACCACCCCTCTAATGTTGTAGCTGCCGTGAGAAATTCAAAACATTCCTGAAAGTTTGAGAGCACTGCTGAAGTAGGTATCAGAGGCCATTTGATCTAAGAATGTTATGGATCTAACCTATGCAAGAAACCACTATTCTCTTTAGAGAATTCACAACAAAATACATCTTTTAGATTAAATGGATTACACCAGAGGCCTTTTGTATAATCCAGTAGATGGTGCTATGATGCAATAAACAAGCTTTACAAACATGAGACATACACTGAAAACGTAGAGAAAGTTATTCTTACCTGGTGCCGGTACTTTTAGAAGGGCTGGTTTGGCTGCAGGAGCTTTTGCTGGCCCTTAAAGAGAACAAATTAAATAACTTACTGCCAAGTGTTATAGCATAAAAATACAGAAGTCTAAAAGAAGTCTGTACATGAAAAATACAGTCCTTAATGAAGAATGAAGAGATTATTAGAACAATAGAAGTACCCATACACTCAACTGATCCATAGGCATGAATACACTTAGAAAAAAATGTTTTTCCTCTTTAGAGTAACCTGTCATTATCTGAAGAAGTGGGTTGAGCCCACGAAAGCTCATACTATTATATGCTTTGTTTGTCTTGAAGGTGCTACTGGTCTATTCGTTGTTTTTTTAAGTTTTTCCTATCAATTGCTGTCATGAGCCAGAGGTTTCCTTCTCCCCATGGTGAAGACTGATCCTGGAGCCACTGCTTAGTTACTATTGCATTAGACCCTGCAGATGCTTAAATCTTTCTACATGGAGACTCAAGGCCAGACAAATCATGTCATTGTAGGTCAACTGGTTTTGGTCCAATCATAGTATACATGCAAACTCACTCTGGGCTGGGGCAAAGGAACCTCCCTGGGTCACAGTTCAAAGCTGTGAAAGGAAAGGGTACTTGTAAAAGACCTCCAATAATCTTGTCCAAACACTGCACAAAAGAACTAGATTGAATCCACTGGGTACATCCACTGTGTACTAGAGTTTAGCTAATACTTTGCATCCTGAGTAACTGCTAGAATAGACTGTGCTTCAACCAAGATAATTTAACAATTTTTCATAAATCCGAGTCTACTGGTTTTCCTAATGGAATTTGGTGTGCCAACTAAAACAATACATGTATTCTCTGACTTACAATTCACATTTTCATACTGCAAAAGGAAATAATCATTTTAATCACAATCTGAATTACAGAATGCCAACAAAATGTTAGTTAATCCTTCACATCTGTCACAATGTTATTAAAAAGGAAAAAAAGACGATGGCTAAATCAGAAATGCAATTTCCAGTTCTTCCCCTCTAGTATATTGAGAAGTTCATGAAAAATGCATCAGCCTGTCTTGTAAAACATAATGAAAACAAAATATAAAGTTTAACAAGTGTGGGATTGGTTTGTTTGTATCCGTTTAAAATGATGCAGTAAATTAGTACTACAGCACTATAATTACTCTGGAGGGCTCATCCTTCTTTAAATAAGATCTTTAAGAGGAGACATTGTTAAAGAGTTTCCTTATCATTTCTATCTAGGTCCCCAGCCCTGCAAAAAAGCAGGAGATTCAATCAACAAACCTTATAAAGCTCAGGGATTCACTGGAATTACATATTTCTCCCCGTGGGCTCTGAACATATCTTTACCCTCCCTTTAACTCTCAGGCAATGCAGCTGCTTTGGAGTCAGGTTGCCAAGATGTCCCATAAAGGCAGCTCTCTCTAGAATTACTCTTTAAAGAGATTCCCAAGTCAGTGGGACTGAGGAAGGCACCTCCTACATCTCGCCAGGCTCAGTGTTTCCACCTCTGGCAGTGTAGGAGCTCCTTGCCATATGGTGTTTATTTTCCCCTTTGGGGCTTATTTCCCAATATTTTTCAGGAAGCTCTCAAGCCAGATGAAGAGCACTCCACAAATTCACAACACAAAACAAAGGGAGAAACTTTACTCTATCCCTTTGTGGGGGCATGTGTAGGGGTGCTGAGACCAGGGATGCTCAAGTGTGGCAAAACCCCCTGTAACTTGCAGTGGTTTCTATCACATTCAGGCTTTGTAGTTTTATTCAATGACTCTCAGCACCCCCACTGTACAATCAACAAACCCTACAGATCTCAAGGATTCACTGGAATTACATATTCTCCCCATGAGCTCTGATGACATCTTTATTCTCTATTTAACTCTGGAGTTGTCCTTCCCCTGCATAGGCAATCAGTAACATAGCATCCACTGTCAGAAGGAGAGCAGCCTTCACCCTGGAGATGCCTTTCTCCCTGCTGCCAGTAGCCTAGCAGCAACTTGTCTCTCCTCCTCCTTTCTCACTGATGGAGGGGTTTTAAAAAGTGTCAGGAAGCCCTTAATTGGACTCAGGAGTCCCTAACTGGCCTGAGATAAACTCTTTTCAGGTTATAGGGAAAAGGGCCTTTATCATTCTAGAGCTAATATACCTGCCTTGCACCACTCTCTTATACAGGTTCATCCTGACTTGGTTACAGTGCAAAAGGTAAAGCAAAAGGTGTGTTTTACTCTTATAGAGTCATCACATTGATTCAATAGGATAACTCAAATGAATAACATTACCCACAGGCCTTGTTTTTCGTAGGACCAGACTCTTGATTTGTATCAATTTTCAGGCCAGACTTAGGAGGGATGTTTTTGCACTGAGGCCCTTCTCAAAACATGGATCTTGACTTCCATGGGAGATACTTCCATAAGGTGCTGAGAAGAGGGGAGACAGTGCTACAGAGATGGTTGAAACTCCTTCTACGCAGATAAGGAAAGATCAGTAATAGATTTGAGAGTCTGGTTAGCATCCCCAAATTTCTGGGCACCAATAATTTTACTTATTACTTATTTGTAGTATTTGAGTCAAGGATGGTCCTTCAAAGATTAACAAATTCCATAAGCTTTAAAAATGTCCCCCACGTTCAGTGCAAACAGTCTGATCAATTGAAGTCTGACCTAAAAAATAATGCATGATGAGCGTATTAGCTATGGGGAAGCACTACTGTAGAAATAAAGATTCCAGGGCTACTATGATATTTTCTTGAAACATTGTTTTGAGATTTATGATTAAGAGCCCAAACCTGAAATTACTACATACACAGAACTCCTTCTGCGGGAACCTTTAAGGTCAGGGGTGGGGAAACTTTTTTGGGTCGGGGACCACTGACCCACATTAAAATCAGTCAGGGGCTGCACACAAATAGAAGAAAACAAAAACAACCCCCCCAAACCCTCACTGATATGGCCCCTCGCTGAGAAGCAGAAAGATACTCCCCACATTCCTTTTGCACATCATAGCCTATGGGGCCAAGGTTAGTAGATTTTGTGTGCCACAGTCCTGTGGAGGGGCAGAGGCGGGGCTAGAGTGATAGCATGGGCTCCCCAATGCTAGGGGGGAGCCCTGATCCTTGGGGGCCAGAGTCAGGCAAGCCTTATCCGGCCTCTGGGCCTGAGGTTCCCCACCTCTGTTTTAGGTGCACAAAGAAGGCAAGGAATGGCAGTTTGAGAGTACTTGGGCATTTCTTCAGAAACCTACAAGTACATAAGCCTTCTCAGCTTTTCTACAAACCTCACACCCAGCAAGATCATTCGAAATATTTTTCTACTGTGAGAACCTCTGCTATTGTAGACAGGTGATAAAAAAATGGGGAGGCAAAACTGCCACTGTCAAGGAAAAGGAGGAATTAGAAATAGTGTAGGTATTGAAAAGAAGAGGCAGCTGAAGTTTAAACATGTCATTTTTCAATTATAAATTGTGAAGGCACTTTCTTCTTTCCATCTTCAACAATTTTAATTACGATTATTTGGGAACACTGAAACATGTTTAAAACAGCTTGCATTTAGGTTCTTTGGACATGATGGGTTCTTTATTACCTGTAAAGGATTTTTTTTAATACGCACACAAAACCAGACAGACAGATAAGTACAATAGACATGACTGCTGCGGAGATGAGATACCCACAAAGTTTGCATGTGCATTGGGATCAGTTACTTAGAAAGTTGTGCCAGTTTAATATAAAATGTAAATTTAGACTAACTCAGTACAAAAGGCGGTGTGAACACAGTTATTATTTCTGATTTAAGTCAAGATCAGTAATCTCTTTAAGAGTAGGTAAAACCTGTTACTGATTGACTTAAAATAAAAAATAAGCTGGACCATGCAGCTTTATCCTCTAGTTTAAATAACCTTGAGCTTGCCATGCCTTTCGTTAAACTGGTGCAACTCTGTACACAGGCAAGACTTTATTCATGTTGAGAATAAAGGGGATATGTTGTGGCTTGATCTTTATGGTGTGGGAGAGAGCTGGGCAGAGAGGTATTTGGTGAATGGAAGCTTGTTGGTTATAATGAACTTAACACCCTGCTTTAAGGATTTTTATCTGGGCACACGGCTGTGGTAATTATGACACAATGACCTCAATATTAGTAACTCTTAAATACCGACTCTGCTACTTGAATTGGCACAGGCAGCAACCTGTGACACATGAAACATGAAGAAACTGCTAGAGTGACAGTGGGTCAATAGAGCTAATACAGTATTTAGATTCTCACCATAAATAAATTATATATTCATTACTTCCTAGACACTAGAAACACCAACACTAGAAATATTATTCCAGCATGAAAGCCGCCAAAATAGAATAGACTTCAAATGCAAAACAGTACTAGACCATTACTGGCAACAACAACACCAAGTTGCCTGAATTTAAATTGATGTCTAAATTGTCACCAGCAGGGTGATCTGAGATAAGCTAACATAAATGACTGCCAAGCATTCCAATGAAAAGCCCTGAAAAATTCCAGGGGAAAACACATTTATATTTGGGTGATATGTTGCTCTGAACCAAAACATTTCTGAGTTAATCCTCTGCTTCCACTAACTTTCTGTGAAAGCATGTTTTGCAGGCACTACTTCAAAGCTTGATAATTACCACATTTAGATGAAATTAATCATGAAGCAGCTTACAGCGATGCTCTCTAGCTAAGGGGTCTACTAAAGCCTTTAAGAAGTGCCTAGTAGTTGCCAGATATGGAAATTTTAAAAGGTGTCCATTGCAGGGATCTGAATCATTTATCATAATAATCTGCCATTGCTATAGGATATAAAAAAATAAACAAACTGGCAGCACCATTTACAACAACAGAAGTGATCTAAATAAAGCCCCCAAGCTCTCTCTTTTATTTTTTCCATATAAGTAATAATTTACTAGGTCAACATTCCTTAATATATTTTAGAGCATCAAGTTACGGTTAAAGGCAACAGTGTGTTTTTTTCCCTCATCCTAAGTATATAACAAATAGTAAAATTTAAGCAAATATCTAAATTGTCCTTCAATTCAGAAATTGTCACAATTTGTTCTTAATTTTAGGAGCAGAAGATTAATGATGGTTGATTTCAGTAATATATGACAACATAAATATTTATTTTTACACTTACCCCAAGATTTTCAAATCAGGGAGCCTGAAGTTACACTTCTAAATGCATATTCATGCACCCAGGATGGGATTTGAAAGTTAATACAAATTTGGAGACAATATTGTCAAAAGTGACTTATCCACACTCCTAACTCACATAGCTGCTTTTTAAAATTTTATCGTAAGTGCCTAATTAGTAGTTCTCAAAGTTTTGTATTGGTGACGCCTTTCACACAGAAAGCCTCCAAGTGTACCCCCTGTTATAAATTAAAAACATGTTTTATATTTAACACTATTATAAATGCTGGAGGTTAAACTGAGTTTGGGGGTGGAGGCGGGTCAAGCGCCATATACAGTAAAACTCCGGTGGTCCGGCATCCAGTGGTCCAGTACGCCTGATAGTCCGGCACCAACTGCAACCCGAAAGTGCTCCAGCAGCTGCTTCTAGTTGTTAGAAGCAAGGCACTGAGGTTAGTAGCAAGGATTGGTTCCTGAGTTCGAGTTATTATGGTGCGGTGTGTAGTTGCTGGTGAGAATATGCTTCAGGTGCAAACCTCGGTGCCAACTCTGCCCACATATATACACCAGCAACACCATCACAGGACCTAACCAGATCAGCCATAGTGTCACTGGTACATTCTCCTGCACATCTACCAACGTAATATATGCCATCATGTGCCAACAATGCCCCACTGCTATATACATCGGCCAAACTGGACAGTCCCTACGTAAAAGAATCAATGGACACAAATCTGATATTAGGAATGGCAACATACAAAAACCTGTAGGGGAACACTTCAATCTTCCTGGACACACAATTGCAGATCTAAAAATAGCCATCCTGCAGCAAAAAAACTTCAGGACCAGACTTCAAAGAGAAACTGCTGAGCTACAGTTCATCTTTAAGTTTGACACAATCAACTCTGGATTAAACAAAGACTGTGAATGGCTCCCTAACTACAAAAGCAGCTTCTGCTCTCTTGAAATTCACACCTCCAGATCAGCTGCTAGAAGTGGGCCTCATCCTCCTTGATTGGATCCACCTCGTCATCTCCAGCCTGATCCTGGCCTGCATAGTTACCCCTGCCTCTAGAAATTTCCACTACATGCATCTGACGAAGTGGGTCTTTGCCCACGAAAGCTTATGCTCCTACACTTCAGTTAGTCTATAAGGTGCCACAGGACTCCTCGTCACTTAAGGAGAATGGAAAACAAACAAATGATCAATAAATCAGGCCAAATCGTGGTACAGTTGAAGTAAATGAGAGTTTTGTCATTCCCTTTAATGTGTCCAGGATATGAGTATTATAACAGCCACTTACAGAAATCAAATCCTGTACTGGGACACTGCAAGTAACAACTCCAGCATCCGGGGTAGGACTTTACTTCTTCCTAACCCTTCTATCTTTCTATCTAGCCAGCCTATAATATCAAAACACGGCAACTATATAGCCCTAATAAAGATTCAGCACAACCTACTGATGGAGATATTATCATTCCTGATCATGACAGTGTTTTCTTCCAGGGGGATGGTAGCCTTTTATTATTTCTTGTCCTCACAACATAATTGCCATTTTTCCTAATAGGCTTTTTTTACTGATCCTCTCCGATTGAATGATTCTCCCTTTCGGGTGTACATAGAAAAAAAATAGCTTATCTTTCTCCCCATCAGTTCTTGGTGGTGTATAAGGAGACGTCTACGCTGCACGGCTATCTCGAAATAGCTACACTGCATCTACACAAGCCACCCGTTATTTTAAAATATTTTTCAAAATAACAGGCATGATATTTCGGCATCCCGGTAACCCTCGTTCCATGAGGGTTAAGTTATTTATCAAAATAGCATGTTATTTCGAAATTTGACACTGTGTAGACATACCAAATTTCAAAATAAGCTATTTCAAAATAGATTTGAAATAAGATATGCAATTTGTGTAATGCACCCTAAGTGTTATTCTATATTCCTTTCACTTACTAGATCTCTTTGCTTATTGACACTCAAAGACTCACTTGGCTGCGTCTAAACTGGCATGATTTTGTGGAAATACTTTTAATGGAAAAGTTTTTCCGTTAAAAGTATTTCTGCAAAAGAACATCTAGATTGGCACGGATGCTTTTGCGCAAAAAGTGCTTTTGTGCAAAAGCATCTGTGCCCAGTATAGACGCACTTTTGCACAAGAAAGCTCCCAAGGCCATTTTAGCCATCAGGCTTTCTTGAGCAAAAAATTAAGGTGCCCGTCTACACTGGTCCTCTTGCGCAAGTATTCTTGTGCAAGAGGGCTTATCCCTGAGTGGGAGCATCAAAGTATTTGCGCAAGAAGCACTGATTTTGTATATTACAAAGTCAGTGCTCTTGCGCAAATTCAAGCGGCCAGTGTAGACAGCTGGCAAGTTTTTGCACAAAAGCGACTGCTTTTGCGCAAAATCTTGCCAGTCTAGATGCACCCACTATGTTCACATTTGGTCCCTTTAAATCATTCCTTATGAATATGTTTTCCTTACACCAGAAGGTACACAGATAACATAAGATGGTTGAATATGCTTCCTGAAAGCTTAACAATATCATCAGGAATCATGTCCATAAGGCAGGCACAGAAATTCTAAATTTGTATTGGGCTTTCTTTGAGTGGCAGTGAGACTCAATAATAAGCAATGTGTCTTTGACGTTATCTGTAGAGGCTTACTGTTCTCCAGGAATAATGAAAATAGTTTTTGTTACTTTTAACAATTATTATTTTCACAAAAGATGGTTCATACATACTTTGCCTTAAGCAATAAGGTAAAAAACTTGGTATACTATTGTGCAGCAGGTAAAAATATAGAGCAAGATTTCCAAAAGCAATTGGTACTTATTAATTTTTTGACTGCCCAACTTCAGGTACCTTAAAAGGGTCTTTTATCAGAAAGTGCTGATGGCATCTTTAGTAATCAGGTCCCTTCTGGTGAGCCGCCCAAATACTGTGGCACCCAAAATCCTCAGTTACTTCTAACAATCTTAACATAACCTTGACCTTTCTTATGAAGAGCCATACAATTTTACAAACCACTAACCTGTACTATTGGAATCACTTGTCGGCTTTAGAGACACGTGAAACACTTCCACTGTAATTTTACAATAGTTAATCATGATTATTTTAAAGGCAGACATATTACACTATGGGCTATCAATATATCAGCATATTGTAGAATAAGGAGACAACTTACCTTCTTTCTTTAAAAGTGGAAGTGAAGGCTTTTCTTTTACTGGCTCTTGAAAATAATTAAAGTACAATTAAACACATTTTTAAATATGTAATCCCCCCCCAAATATTTTAACATACATGATCTGGTTTTATTCTTATCTGTACATGCTAAATAGATCAATTTTATTCAGCCTAGAAATAAACATCTGGAGCTAGCATATGTGTATAGCAGTGAAACAGCTAAGCAGTGCTTTATTCTTTTACACCTTTCTAGTACTGGTAGCCTGCTCTTTTCCTCAGGCCTCGATCAACATTCTTTTGAAGTAAACTAGAAGTAAACAGTAGCTGTAAATGACAGCTAAACTACACAGAGGGTGATAAAAAAGCCTTAAGCTTATGTAGTGCCTTTCATGCAACTGTATCCCTAGGAGGTTTGTAATAAACCATTACACACAAATGCCTCAGTATTCTCTCACAGAATATGGTATGTTCGCATTTAAGTTAATTGACTAAATATTTCAAACCTTGGACTGGAATGAATCTACAAGTTCATGACAACTTAACACAGCTTCTCCACAGATTTTTTGCATAATGTATATTTTAGAAAATCTTACAGGTCAACTTCAGAGATTCTGAATAATCTATAAATTTGTACACAGGCAACTATTCAGGTAAATGCTTATGTTTCAAACTGTTTATTACCTTCTCTTAGAAGGATGCTCTATGCAGTTTGCATATGTGAGTGTCCTGCTAATTTCAGTGGGAGCTAGGCATGTATAACAAGGAGTAAAAATGTCCCTAAATCCAAGCAGCTTTCAGTTCAACTCAGTGGAAAGGTAATATACTGCAGCTCTGCTAATGCTGTATTGACATGTTAGGTCCACCAGGAGACAATTTTATTTCTGGAAGCATTATTCTGTAAACTGGAGCTAATGCAACTTTTCATGGGACGGCCATAAACCACAACATAACTATAATCTAACCTGGAGGTTACAAACATAGACTATAATCTCAGCATCAGTGGATAACCATATTGTCAGAATTCTATCTCTATATGATATTGATATATGTCAATCCAATGACAGAATTTTAGGATGCCAGAGTATAGGACATATAGAATATGTCTACACAGCAGTGTTATTTTGGAATAACTGACATTATTTTGAAATAACAAAGAGTGCATCTACACAGCAATCCACTATTTCAATATAATTTCGAGATGGCGGACTTCTTACTCTGACTTCTGTAACATCCCTCATTGTATGAGAAGTAAGGGAAGTCAGAAGAAGAGTGCTCTACCTTTGACTTTGTGCTGTGTAGACAGTGCCAAGAGCCGACTTCTGCTACACAATTGACGTAGCTGAAGATGCTTAGCTTAATTTGACTTTTGCCCTGCAGTGAAGATGTGCCCATAGTGTGATCTGCTAACTAGGCTAGACTTACACCAGCAGGACCCATTATAAGCTTTAGATGTCTCAATGGGACCCTTGATTCACAGAGCAAAAACAGATGTTAAAAAGATCCCGAAGTAGATATTGCCCATTATTAACCCAAATTAACACCAATCACACACTTTATCTCCCACTTAGCTGGTGGACAGGTGCTAGTGTGGCTTAACCAGTTCCCATGAGTTTACTATGCTGTGTATGGGGCTTGTATATAAACAGAGCAGAGTTAAAGGTCTTGTACTACATGAGTAGAAGCTCTAAGGCTACGTCTAAACTGGCGGGTTCTTGCTCAACAACGGCCGTTCTTGCGCAAGAATCTGCAGTGCATCCACACTGCCCACCTGCTCTTGCACAAGAAGATTTATACAGGCAGTCCCCGGGTTACGTACAAGATAGGGACTATAGGTTTGTTCTTAAGTTGAATTTGTACGTAACTCGGAACTGGCTCCAGATTCAGCTGCTGCTGCTGAAACTGATCAGGGGCTGACTACAGAAAGCCCGAGGCAGAGTTGCTCTGCCCCCAGCTTCCTGGAATCAGCCACTGATCAGTTTCAACAGCGGCTGAATCTGGAGTCCCCGGGTTACGTACAAGATAGGGACTATAGGTTTGTTCTTAAGTTGAATTTGTACGTAACTCGGAACTGGCTCCAGATTCAGCTGCTGCTGCTGAAACTGATCAGGGGCTGACTACAGAAAGCCCGAGGCAGAGTTGCTCTGCCCCCAGCTTCCTGGAATCAGCCACTGATCAGTTTCAACAGCGGCTGAATCTGGAGCCTGGGACAGAACAGCTGGGGC